CCAGCGGGGAGGAGCGCGGCGCTCGGCGAGGGGCCGCTGGGCCCGGCCGGAGCCGCCCGCGCTCGTGCCCGCGCCCGCCCGCCCTGGCCCAGCCGCGGGAGCTGGGTCGGGCTGAGGGCAGGCGTTGCGCGGGCGCCGCGGCGGGGAACCGGGGGGCCCTGCCGGGGGGCCGGGAAGTCGTGTCTCCGCGCTGTGGAAGCGTTTGACAGCTTCGGAATTGCACTTTGCCGAGTGCTTCAGAAGCCCAGAGAGACGGGCTTGCAAAAGTGCAGGGCCGGGGCTTCAGACCCAATTTTTGCAGCATGATCCCCGGGTTTTGCTGGGGGGACTTCGCGTCTCCCAAGGGTCCCCTATGCTTTGCACTGATTCCTGAGCTGCTGCTGTCAGGGGAATGTACAAAAGTAGCAGGGAATCCTGTGGAGAAGGAAAATTTCTCCCCATGACAGTTCAAGCTCAGGAAGAGAATATAGCTACCTAGGCAGATGTGGAATAAAGCCCCAGCCCCCAGCTGGAAGCTGGGGAAAACAGTAGAAACAAGGCCATATCTACAGGGTTCCAAACTAATTGACATGACAAAAACGAGCGAGGAGTGAAGGTAAAAACAAGCAAATTTGCATATTGCTTCTTACAGTTAAAATTAAGTAATGCTGCTTATGATGACCAGCTAGAAGAGAAGCTTTCAGGGAGAGCAGGAGGCAAGTTGAGATCTTTTCTGCAGTGTGGAAACTGCAGTGTGGAAACTGTTTGGTTTCTCCTTTCGATACAGTTTGGATACAGTTGTCAAATACTGGTTTTAAAAAACCTTTTTGTTCTTTTATCAAAGAGCGCCATTAACGACTGTGCTTGTTGCTTAGATTTCTTTCTGAAGTAAATGTGATTTTTTTTCCAAATCAGTAAATTTATTTGATGTTTAATTGAAGGCAGGTACTGCCACTTTGCTGAAGAATGGCAAGGCCGACAAATGGAGTCGCCGCATGTCGGAGCCTATCGTGGAAGGAACAATAGACAGAAGGTATTGTATTGTTCTTTGCATTTGGCAGTCTATTCATGAGAGAGATGGAGCTTTTTCCTAGTATTGCAAGTTTTAGGGTAAAAAGAATGACATCTATGAATGAAAGAAAGAAATTTCAGGTTAGTTGTGGACTAAGGACTGGCGTGCACTTTATGTGGTGCAGGAGTTTGTTACCTGTAACACATTTGCTCTCCTCCCTTTTTCCTCCAGTGTAGCTACAAACGGGTTGGGTGTATTTGATTTTTTAAATCATTGTTTTGTCCAAACACAGCAAAATGTTTCCTCTGAACTAGAGTTTGTTGGAAGCAGGCTGGCCTTGTTTGTCATGGTTAATCATAGATTGTTGGACGCAACTGCAGTGCTGTCTTCCAGTTGACCAAGTGCTGGATTCAGGTTCTTGTTCCCACTCAGCCAAGGAGCTCCCTGGTGGTTTTTGGTCCGCTCACTGACACTTAGCCAAGCCTACCTCACAGGACAGTTGTGTGACTGAAGTGGAGGGTGAAGGACCCTGTGAATGGCTCAGGGCCCCTTGCAGGGATAAAGGCAGGGTGTTAAATAAAGGCCAAAAATAGAAGCAAAATACTTTCTGCTCAAATAGGAGCAGGGAGCATCCCCCTCATAGTGAACCTGGAGTGGGGCGCTCTCCTTGAGTGTTGCTGGCACGTCCCAGTGAATGAGGGTGCCCTTTTCTTTCTGCCACTTCCTTTCCCTTCTTCGTCCCATTGAGTGCAGAGTGCACTGCTTGCTTGTCAAATTGGGTCCAGGCCTTCAGGCAGCCTTCCTCTGCAACAAACCAGGGCTTGCCGTGAAACCCGAACGCAAGAGCTGTGAGATTATCTTTTGTTTTTAGGCTATGCAGAGTGACCTACTCAACAGGTTGTTTAGAACCCGTTTCCAGATCTGGCACAGAATTTTGCATTATTGGGATGGTTCTGGGACACATCCTGTGATGCCTAAAGCTGCCATCAGGGGCCCTCAGACTTTTCACCAGGGGCCAGGGGCCAGCGGTGCAGGCCCGTGTGGGAGCGGGGCGCACACGCATGCACGCGCAGTGAGGCAGGGATGGGGGGTGCGCGGGGCAAGGCGCCGGCTTGCTCGCAAGGAGATCATTTTCTCTGAGCAAGTCCAAAACGACCTCCTCGCGAGCAAGCTGTGCACCCGTGCGCGCCCCACGAATGCAAAACCTGTGGGGTGGCCGGTTAAATGGGCATGGTGGGCCGGATGAGGCCCGTGGGCCTTAGTTTAAGGACCCATGGTTAACATCTATAGAAGGGATGGTAGTTATTTCTCCCTTCTTTGTTCACAGAATAAGAAGAGAAAAGAACCTGTTTTTACTCATTATTGTGATACATGTGACCGTGGCTTTAAAAACAAGGAAAAATATGAGGAACATCTGGCTCAGCACAAGCAGGTGCGTTTCAGTAGCAGTCTAAGATTGTGTCTCTTATGGGACAGCTTATTTGTTGCATCATTTTTTGATCTTGATAATAATAAAACTTAGTACTCCGTCAGCTGTCATAGACGCTCCAATTATAGGAAGGGAAGCGATTGTCTCATCAAACTGCACACAAAGGTAGAATTTGTGGGGTGTAAAGCATTTCAATTTTCTGTTAATAAGTGTCCTTTTGGGAATCTCAGGGAAGGAGATGGCACATCTTTCCTTTTTCATACTTTTGGAGTTTCCCTGAAACCACATGCTGTGCAATCTCAGGTGGAAAGCACAGTGAAATGGTTCTGCTATTGTATGGAATTTTTAGCACAACCAGGTAATTTTTGGCAATGGCCAGAATGATGCATAATTGGTTCTCTGATCGTATTGTGCTCTTGTTGAATAGTAAGTGGTGAGGAACAGCAAGAGGTGGGATATAAAGACTGAGGTTTCCAGCTGCTTTACTGAAACCGTGTCTCTTACTGTCCTCATTGGACTGGATGTTGCTTTTTGTGACTGTAGCCCTTTTTAATGGGATGGATGGGTCGTGAGGGCTATTTATAGATGAATGTTTTAAAAAAGTTAGTTAAAGTTGCTTATAACCTTTGGGTGCAGGTTTTAAAGAATTAAAAGGTGGAAGGGTTTTTAGGTTTCCTTGAGATTATCCTCATTCTAATACCATGGTTGACAGAGTTCAGTTTTAATGAAAGGGAAGAGCAGTTTCTTATGCTGTTATACAAGGATCTTTTGTTTTCCTTTCTGGGAAACTGCTTTAGAGAAAATGTCTCAGAGGGCTTGAATGAACAGCACTTCTCAGGTGCCAAAATCCCCTGGTCAGTGTTCAGTTATCCTAAAGCTGGCCAAGTTCAGAATAGGCCTCATCAGTCTCATTAATGCAGGGGAAACAGAAATGACTAGTAACATCAGCAAATGTAGAAGCAAAAATGGTAAAGGATGAGGAACATAACATGAATTTGAGGAGAGAGTCAGGGAGCCCAGGCCCCTGGCAGCAGCTGAAGCACGTTTAGCAAAGATAATTCAGGCTGAGAAGGGGTGTCTTTTTCCCTTTCAGTGTCCAGAAGATGGCTGTAATTTTCGTGCCCATGAAAAATTGGTGCAGATCCACTGGAAGAATGTAGGTATTTTGCCCTGCTCTGTTTCAAATCTGCCTCTGTGTAATGCGCAGCGTGTCTTTGGTTTGGTTTTTCTTACCCATTTTGTTTGTGATTTTTCGATGGTGAACTGTAAGGAAACCTCAGCAGATCCAGTTTACTGAAAGCATCACTATATGGCTTCTTTTAGGATTGTGCTGAGCAGAGCCTGCAGGGCACCCAAGGAGAGGTTTTGTTGCCTCGCTGGGCCCTGAGGGCGCTTGGAGAAATTGTAACTGAAACAGTGGCTTTTTTAGCCCTACAAAGCACCACCTGAGTTGAATTTAGCTTTGTAGGGCTAAAATTTAACCTGTGTATTGCTCTGTAAGAACTAACTGCCTGACAGATGTATCCTCTGCCAGGAAGGATGCTGTTACACAGTTCTGCAGCTGAATTAACTGGAATGAGAGGAAGAGAATAATCCAATATTCAGGATCACGGGAGGTGTTTGTGCGATGAGATATTGAAGAGAAATGGCTTAATACTGAGTAACAAACAAATACAGCTTTTTTCAGCTAACAAATTTAGATGAAAGACATCTATAGTGCTCCTTTTCTCCTCATGCTAATATATTCAGGCCTCACCGCACTTTTCTTCTCGTAATTTCTTGTCTGTTGTGTTGACCCTGCAAGAGCACACGGGACCAGTTTGCTGCCAGGGTCTCTGCCTCCTTGCCCTCCCTGCCGTCGCCGCCTTGCTTACCTTGGTCACTCTTGCCCCTCGCGTCAGTGTGCTTCCTGAACCTGCCAATTGCGGTGGTCCAACCTGGCGAACATCTGAAGGGCTGGCTTGTCACCCATCGCTTTCTGCCCTCCACTGCCAGTCCACGCCCTCAATGCTGAGCCCGTATTCTGCACCTCTTGCTGTCACTGGGGTGGCTCGCTTCACCGGGTGCCTTCGGACCATGCTTCCAAAGAGGAATTGTGGCAGTCCCGGGTACTGCCTCCCCTTCTGTTCCGTCTAGAAAAGTTAACGTTAAGAATGCTGTGCCAAGCCTTAGATAGTATTAAAACCCACATGTCATATCAGACTCCTTCTGTCGTATCCAGTATTCCATAATGCTTTAAGGTGTCTTTATTTCTTCCTTCTTAGATGCACTCTGCTGGTGCCAAACGCATCAAATTGGACACACCAGAGGAAATAGCCAAGTGGAGAGAAGAACGAAGAAAGTGAGCAGAAGTTGCTTTGCTTCGCTGCAGATGCTGGGGAAGAAAGGGGCTTTCCTAAAACTTTCTTCTCTGACACGCCTCTCTAACTGCTCTTTGTTTCCAGCTCATTCTAGAAGAAGGGCCATATTTCTTATGCAGCGGAGCGCTAGATGGAATATGGGCGATGCTCGCAGGGGTTAGTTGGAAGAGCTGAGCAGGGCTTTCATGGTCTGGAGAACATGCATTTATAGGGCAGCCCTAAGTCAGAGGCAGCTGGCGGCCGCCGACAGCAGACAGGGCTGCACAGGGTTCTGTCATAACCTGTGGATGGGACTCTTCAGTACGCATGCCCCCTTCAGGGTTGGATCCTTCCTAAAAGTCTTACCTATTCTCTTTCCAAGACAGATTCCTAGATCTGCACTCTACTTATAACGTTCACTAGAGTATCCCCGATTGTCTTCTCCCATCCTAAATGCCGTGGCTGTGAAAGTTCCATGCAACACCTTATTCTTGGATCGGGTTTTACCTTTGCTTGCTTCCCTTTATTTTTGTATTATCACGGAGGCAAGGACCATTGGTACTAACATAGGTTTGATTCGGTGTGCTTTGGGCCTACTTCTCATTGAGGTGGTAAGACTAATTCGGTTGTGCCACCTCAGAGTGGTGAATTGTTCCTGCCTCTAGAAAACCAGCCCCTTACAGAGCATGTGACCCCCGCCTGAACTATTCACAGGAATGTTGTGGCTACCAGGTCAGTACTGGTAATAAGATTTAATAATGTGTACATTGCTCTAGGAATTTTCCTACGTTGGCCAATGTTGAGAAGAAGAAAGCACAGGAAAAGGAACGGGAGGAGCGGGGAGAGGTGCTGAGAACCCTGCAGTTTGGGTAAGCCTGGCTGTTAAGTTGCGCCTCATCCTTTCTGGAGGATCTTTCCTAGATCAGGAAGGACCGGTTGTGCTTCCATCTGAGTTAAGAATATGAAATTAAAGTGCCATGCCTGTGTTGCGTTTTGTCTCCGTGAAGCTTTAAACAGTTTTGAGAAAGTTTCCGGTGGGGTTGGCTCAGCCGCAGTCTGATTGGCTGGAGCACCTCCACATTACAGTGTTTGTTGCGGCCAAGCTATTGCGAGGTGTTGGTCTGGCACGGGATTAGCCTTTCTCGCCAGGGCTGGTACAGCTCATGGGCTTCACCCCGCGGCAGCTGGGAAAGACCTGTAGAACTGGCCTCCTTCAGAACCTGCCAGAGGCTCAGTCCAGTAGGAAAGAAGGCGGCATCGCCTCATCAGTTCCCAGAGTGGCATTTCCCAGATTCTTCATCCTTGAGTAAAACTGCAGGATGCACGACCCTTAATTGTTTAGAAGGAACCAGTATATTATATGAAGGGTGGGTGAGAGGTGGCGAGTCTGCATGACCCTCTGCGATGGAAGCGGCCTGGAACAAGCGCGTGCACCTATTCTTCTGTCAGCAAGATGCGGGGCACATGGAAGCCGCCTCCATGCGAGATGTCCAGGCAGCGAGGGAAAGGCAGAGGAAGGACCCGCTGCTGGAACAAATCGAGGAGGGGGCCTGAGGCTGGTAAGGAGCCCCCCCAGCACACTTTGGCCACGGCTGCTGCGAGTGGGCCAGGCAGCCACGTCGCCGAGATGGTGAGCCTTGAGCCTGCTGAAAAGGCCCCTGCCCCTGCGGGAGACATGGACCCCCTGAGCATCCTGGCCAGCAGTGGTCCTGGTAAGACCCTCGCCTTGCTTTTCTTTCTGGACAGAGCTTGCAGGTGGGGCGGGGGCGGCGGGCCCCCGGGCCTGCCAGTGCAAGCCTCAAAAGGGCACTGCTTGACTCGGAAGTCCTCAGAGAGCTTTTCGGAACGTTTTTTGAATGTGGCAGTGCAGGGCAGTGGACGCATGTGGATAACTGGGCGTGGCTGTGCTTTCGGCTGAGGGCCAGAGGCACGGGTCAGTGGAAGCCAGGCCTGCCTGCAGCCTGCCCCTGTGTGTCCTTCCCCAGATTCGGACAAGGAGGCGGGTGCTGCAAAGGAGGCGGCTCTAGGAACAAGCGTTGTCCCGAAGCAGGTGACCTCGGCCCTGAGCTCGCTGGTGGCCAGCTATGGCAGCATGTCCGAAAGTGAGAGCGGCCCAGACGGTAAGCTGTCCCGTTCCTCTTCCCGCCGGGCTGCGCATTCACCTGCGTCATCGCTCTTCCCCTTGGGGAGGCGTGGCACTGCTGCGTGGGCATGGCGTGCAGAGGGTATCCTGCCCTCTCTCGCCTGCTGTCTCTATAGCCTGGTGGAATAGCCCACCAACAAGCCACGTTCTGGGTTCCCATGTAATGCCAGCCTGTGGTTCAAACCATCCACAACCCAGCTGGGTTCACGACCCAGCAACAAGCCATAGGTGATCTTTCCGGTTTGTTGTGCAAGGCAACCCCTGGGTTAACCTGCACTTTGTTTATTGGGTATGTAATGCCTGCTGTGTAACCTTCTGGCGAAACGATAGGGCTGTCTCCTGGCACACCACGGCCTCCTGCTCCCTCCTCCAGATCCTTACGAGCCACAAGGAGGAATAGCTGAATATTCAGGGCTCAGCTTTCCACTTTCTCCCCGGCTTGTTCCCAGTCCTTCTGTCACAGAAAGCTGACTGGCAACCACAGACCCAATGCGTCATTGCCTCCCTTGTTCTGAGTGCAAGATCTTCCATACAAACATCAGTGCCCATGCAGCTCCTCATTACTGCAGGCTGTCTTTATTCCAGCTTGCATGAGTGTGCAAGCAGGTGTGTAAGGTGGGAAGAATCATTCTGTCGAACACGCAGGAGTCAAAACTCCTTGCTGATTCCTGAAAACCACCCAGAGATCTACAGGCAGATCTTGATCTACCCATCCCTGTTTTAAACAGTCTTGTCTGCAGCTTAGGTAACATTTTGCAGTTGGTTGCTGGTGACTGAATTACGAAACCCTTGAGCCTGATGCATTGGCTAAGTTCAGGCCTCATGCCAAACCATAGCTATGCTTCATTAATTGCTTTACACAGATGAGGGGAACACTGTGGTGCGTGCTTGATACAGGAAAGTTATATTTTGCACACATGCTCCATCCAAATCACACCTACACCTTTGTTCTTATTGCTCCACACTGAGGTGAAGCCCATCCTGGATGAACAAGTTGCCATTCCGGTGGTCACAGGAGAGACTATGCTCCACTGCGTAGTATTTTGAATTTTGTTTAGACTTTTCAGATCTTTTCTCTTTCACAAAATATCTAGAAGCCAATTAAATCTTGGATTAATATTTCTGCCAATTAATTTTTATATGCATAGCCCTGAGTCTGTCGCCTGACATTGTGGCTTTGCACAATCACAGCTTCAATAAGTAACTACCACCTTGCTGCAATACGCATGGATAAGACCCATACTTATTTTGACCTCTCCTTGTCAGAGCTAGGAAAGTTGGAAAGAAAATTGAGTACTTGAGCAGGGTTATGTGCCAGGATCCACACTGCATATCAAATTATGGGTTATTGATTCATTCCATGTCTGCACTGCTTAATACTATAATTTCACGTGTGCACTGAATATTTAGTTTTGTGCCTTCAAGTCTCCAGCTGCTTCTGCCCTGCCTTTCGCACCCTCCTCAGCTCTTGCCAATTCCAGGCTGTGCTTTCCTTTAGGGAGTCAATCCGTCTAGTTTTTGGTCCTCCGTGTCAGTTTCTGCCTTCCACCCTCCCTGGCATCATTGTCTTCTCCTGTGGGTCTTGCCTTCTCTTGATGGGCTCCAAAGTATGGCAGCTTCAGTCTTGTCATTTTTGCTTCCAAGGAAGGTTTGGGATTGATTGGATCCCGGAGCCCTTCTTCAGTCCGGGGTATTTGCAAAGCTCTCCTCCAGCACAATGTTTCAAATGCACCCATTTCCTTCCTGTCCGCTTTCTTCACTGTCCAGCTTTCACATCTATGCATAGTAAACGGGAACACAGTAGTGCAGATGATCTTGGCCTTGGTCTCCAGCGAAACGTACCCACATTTGATGATCTTTTCCAGTTACTTCATTGCTGCCCTTTGCAGTCTCGTTTTCTAATTTCTTGTCTGGCCTCCTGGGGGCACTGTCTTACCCTTCTCTGACACTCTCAAACCCTTTCACTCCAACTTTAAGGCGTGGATCCAGGCAGGCATTAGCGTAGACTGCAATAAATAAACCATACCATACCATTGTTGTTGTTGTTGGTCGCAAAGTCGTGTCTGACCCATCCTGACCCCATGGACAACATTCCTCCAGGCCTTTCTGTCCTCCACCATCCCCCGGAGTCCACTCAAGCTCATGCCGAGTGCTTCAGTGACTCCATCCTGCCACCTCATTTCTGCCGCCCCCTCCTTCTTTTGCCGTCAATCGTTCCCAGCATCAGGGTCTTCTCCAGGGAGTCCTGCCTTCTCATTAGGTGGCCAAAGTAGTTGAGTTTCATCTTCAGCATCTGGCCTTTTAAAGAGCAGTCAGGGTTGACCGGTTTGATCGCCTTGCGGTCCACGGGACTCGCTGGAGTCTCCTCCAGCACCACAATTCAAAGGCCTCAATTCTTCGGCGTGCAGCCTTCCTTATGGTCCAGCTTTCACAGCCATACATTGCAACTGGGAAAACGATAGCCCTGACTATACACACTTTTGTTGGCAGGGTGATGCCTCTGCTTTTTAGAATGCTGTCTAGATTTGCCATAGCTTTCCTCCCCAGGAGCAAGCGTCTTTTAATTTCTTGGCTGCAGTCCCCATCTGCAGTGATCTTGGAGCCCAGGAAAATAAAATCTGCCACTACCTCCATTTCTTCCCCATCTGTTTGCCGAGAAGTGATAGGACCGGAGGCCATGATCTTAGTTTTCTTAATGTTGAGCATCAACCCAACTTTTGTGCTCTCTTCCTTCACCCGCATCAAGAGGCTCTTTCGTTCCTCTTCACTTACTGCCATTCTGTATCATCTGAATATTTGAGGTTGTTGATATTTCTCCCGGCAAGCTTAGTTTCAGCTTGTGATTCATTCAGAGCCTTTCTCATTATGTGCTCTGCATATAAGTTAAATAGGCAGGGTGACAGTATACAGCCTTGCCAAACTCCTTTCTCAATTTTGAACCAATTGGTGGTTCCGTGTCCAGTTCTCACTGTTGCTTCTTGACCCGCATCCAGGTTTCTCAAGAGACAAATAAGATGGTCTGGCACTCCCATCTCTTTAAGGACTTGCCACAATTTGTTGTGATCCACACAGTCAAAGGCTTTAGCACAGTCAATGAAGCAGAAGTAGATGTTTTTCTGGAACTCCCTAGCTTTCTCCATGATCCAGTGTATGTTGGCAATTTGATCTCTAGTTCCTCTGCCTCTTCGAAACCCTGCCTGTACTTCTGGTAGTTCTCGGTCCACACACTGCTGGAGTCTAGCTTCTGAGTCTGAGCATCACTTTGGCATTGCCCTTCTTTGGGATGGGAACGCAAACTGACCTTTTCCAATCCTGTGGCCACTGCTGAGTTTTCCAAGTTTGCTGGCATATTGAGTGTAGCACTTTTACTGCATCATCTTTTAGGATTTTGAATAGCTCATCTGGATACTGTCACCTCTATTTGCTTTGTTGCTTCTCAGACTTCCTATGGCCCATTTGACTTCACACTCCAGGATGTCTGGCTTGAGGTCAGTGACCACCCCATCGTGGTTATCAGGGACGTTAAGCTCTTTCTTGTATAGTTCCTCTGTGTAATCTTGCCACCTCTTCTTAATCTCTTCTGCCTCTGTTAGGTCCCTGCCATTTTGGTCCTTTAGCATGCCCATCTTTGCACGAAACGTTCCCTTCATGTCTCCAATTTTCTTGAAGAGATCTCTGGTACTCCCGGTTCTATTATTTCCTTCGATTTCTTTGCACTGTTCATTTAAGAAGGCATTCTTATCTCTTCTAGCTATTCTCTGGAATTCTGCATTCAGTTGGGTGTATCTTTCCTTTTCTCCCTTGCCTTTTGCTTCCCTTCTTTCCTCAGCTGTTTGTAAAACTTCCTCAGACAGCCATTTTGCTTTCTTGCATTTCTTTTTCTTTGGGATGGTTTTAGTTGCTGCCTCTTGTACAGTGGTGCGAACCTCCGTCCATAGTTCTTCAGGCACTCTGTCTATCAGATCTTAAATCTATTTGTCACCTCTACTGTATATTCATCAGGGATATGATTTAGGTCATACCTGAGTGGCCTAGTGCTTTTCCCTACTTTCTTCAACTTAAGCCTAAATTTTGCAACCAGAAGTTCATGATCTGAGCCACAGTCAGCTCCTGGTCTAGTTTTCACTGACTGTATAGCGCTTCTCCATCTTTGGCTGCAGAGCACATAGTCAATCTGATTTCTGTGATGCCCATGTGTAGAGTCGTCTCTTGGGTTGTTGGAAAAGTATGTTTGCTATGACCATCGTATTCTCTTGACCAAATTCTACCAGCCTGTGCCCTGCTTCATTTTGTACTCTGAGGCCAAACTTGCCTGTTATTCTGGTTATCTTTTGGCTTCCTACTTTTGCATTCCAATCTCCCATGATGATAAGGACATCGTTTTTTGGTGTTAATTCTAGAAGGTGTTGTAGGCCTTCATAGAACCGGTCAACTTCAGTCTCATCAGCACCAGTGGTTGGGGCATAGACTTGGACTACTGTGATGTTGAATGGTTTGCCTTGGATTCAAACTGAGAGCATTCTGTCATTTTGGAGATTGTATCCCAGTACTGCTTTTCCTACTCTTTTATTGACTATGAAGGCTAGTCCATTTTTTCAGAGGGATTCTTGCCCGCAGTGGTATACCTGATGGTCATCTGAATTAAATTCCCCCATTCCTGTCCATTTCAGTTCACTGATTCCTAAGATGTCGATGCTCAGTCTTGTCATCTCGTTTGACCACGTCCAGCTTGCCTTGATTCATGGATCTTACATTCCAGGTTCCTATGGAGTATAGATCTTTGCAGCATCGGACTCTCCTTTCACCAGCAGATACATCTGCAACCGAGTGTCCTTTCGGCTTTGACCCAGTCGCTTCATTTTTTCTGGCGCTACTAGTACTAGCCCTCTGCTCTTCCCCAGTAGCACACTGGACACCCTCCGACCTGAGGGGCTCATCTTCTGGCGTCATCTCTTTTTGTCTCTTGGCACTGTCCATGGGGTTTTCATGGCTAGGATACTGGAGTGGGTTGCCATTTCCTTCTCCAGTACCATACTATACCACAAAACCTTGCATACCAATATGGGTGAAAGGAAGCTCTCTGTACAGTGTCTGTTTATGAATGATCTCCAGCTGTATTATTCAACCTGGATCGAGCTGTGTATCCATGTGGTTAAGGGGAAAGATGGAATTACATGCTACGAGGTTCATCTTATCTGTCCTTATTCAAAGGACTGGCAAGTGACTAAAATGGGTTTTAATATAGTTTATTGATTATTGCTCGGAAAAGCATAACTTTGTTTTGGCTTGCAAGTGGCTTGCAACAGTATGCTGTGGCGCGAAGCTCTTTTTGGAGCTCTGGCTTAATGCCTGCTGTGCTTTTGCTTTCTGAAACAGAGCCCATCGGAACTGCAGCACAAGCTCTTGTTGAAAACCAGGCGATTCTTCGAAGTGCCCATTCAAATATCCCTCAGGCGCTTAAAGAGACAGGCCACAAGGAAGGCGCACGTGCTTCAGAGAGGCCTGGGCCCAGCACGGCCCGCAGCACAGGTCAGAAGAGGCAGAAGACGGCTTCGTCGTTCCCGAAGCACCGTCCAACTCTGCTGGAGATGGTACATGCGGTTCTTTTACTTTCCATAAAAGTGGAGTGTGACGTGGTGACATCGTTTTGCCGTGAGCTTGCTTTTCGTGATGCGGTGTGTGTGTGTGTGTATGTATTTACTTATTTAGAAAGCTTCTATGCCGCCCCATTCGCCGAAGCCTCGGGGCGGCTCATGACAATAAACAATATTTCTGAACTTCCATCACACCTCAGCTCTAAGTTCGGACCATCATGAATAATCCATACTTCCACATTCGTTAAAGTATCTGAGAGAACTGTTTCAGTTTCCTTCTAACAACCCCAAACCTTTTGTGTTGGAAGCCCATTGTTCTGTCATGCTAGCACCCTATGCAGTTCTGCTCCTATAGTTCTCTGAATGTTAGCATGTTATGTCACACACACTCTTCCTTTCCCTTAGCTATTAGCAAAGGACATACGGCATGAAAGGAATGTGATTCTGCAGTGCATTCGCTATATCCTCCAAAACAGTATCTTCGGACTCCATTCAGAGACTGGTTCAACAGCAAAGTGGGAGAGCGGACAGAGTGTTCAAGGCATGGAAGAACATTCTGCAGATGGACATGTGGACTCCAGCAGCTCTGGCCATCCAGTAGCCAAGCCACATGCATTTCTGATGAGCCAAGGTGAGGAGGCAGCTGCATCTCAGGTATCCACAATTTCCCATGCTGTAGATGAGGAAGTTTGGGAAGCCACAGAAATTCCGTGTAAAGAAAACTGACTTTTGCTGTTGTGAATAAGCAGAGGATTCCATGAGCCATTTTGAGGGTTCTTTTGAAAGTATTCAGATTGTCCGTCCATTCAAAAGGATTTAGGTAAACAAAAACAGCCCTTTGAATGGAAACTTAAACCCATTTTGATAACTATATTGATCTTGCTGTATTTTTTCTTGAGGCTTCTATTTTGAAATAGGAATTGCATTAAAACTTCTTTACTTATCTTAGTCAATTTTAGCTTTCTGGTTTCAGGCTATACAAGGCACAGCAACAGTGCCTGCTGTACCTAGAGGGGCATGCCAGTGAGGGGGGAGTCAAGGGCTTCCCTGCCTTACCTCCCTGAGGTCCATTTCCCACAGCACATTCCTCCGACGTGAATATCACAGGCAGGCTAAGGGGGGGGGGGGTGGAAGCCTGCCAAAGAGGGTGAACACAGTCGTATTTGACTCCAAAAGAGGAAAAATGAGGGAACTGGTAAAGAAGAGGCTCAAGAATGGAATCGGAAAGCTTTGTTTCATATGCATGCTTGGAGATTACTAAAAATACTGTAAGAGAGGAACAGATAGTATGCATACCACAAGTGAGGAAAGGTAGAACAAAGTCCAGGAAAACACCGGCAGGGTTAATGCACAGAGCCAAGGAAGCTATCAGGGAGAAGAAACCTTCCTTCAAAAGATGGGAGTCTTGCCCAAATGAGAAGAACAGACAAGACTACAAGCTTGCACAAAGGAGACCATCAGAGAGGGAAGGAAATGATTCGAGGAGCACACTGCAAACAACATCAAGACCAGCAATAAAGAATTCTTTAAAGAAAAGCAAGCAAGCAGCTAAGGAAGCAGTTGGCCATTGCATGGCGATGTGTGTAAAGGAACAATAAGCAGGGATGAGGAGATTGCAGAGAAGCCCAGTGAATTCTCTTTGTCAGTCTTCCCAGCACAAAATGCAGAGCAGATCCTGTCCCTGAGCTTATGTATTCTGGAAGGGAGTCTAAGGAATTGGGGCAGATAGCAGTGACAAAATAAGAAATTCTCAACCTTATCAACAAACCAAAGGTCAGCACATCACCCAGTCCAGATGGTATCCATCCTAGAGTTCTCAAAGAACTCAAAATGAAATTGCTGACCCTCTCTCCGAAGTATTTAATATGGCCCTGAAATTAGTATTTGCACTAGAGGATTGGCGAAGGGCCAACATAACCCCAATTTCTATAAAGAGAAATTATGGGATAGTTAGTTTGACATCTGTTCTGGGTAAACCACTTCTATTATTAAAAATAGAACCACTTAAGTACATTGAGGGACAAGCCCCGCTGAAAGAATATCGGCAAGGGGAAGGCTTGCCTCAAACTATTGGAGTTCTTTGAGTTTCAATAAACACACAGACCAAGGACTACGCAGTAGGCATTGCTTATTCAAAGGGCTTTGGACCCTCACTTATGATCCTGAGTCTAAGCAGTCCTGGAATAAAAATGGGGGCTCCACTAGTTAATGAACAGAAGACAGAGGGTGGGAACAAACGGCAACTTCTCCCAACGGAGACCTGTTGCCAACTTTTATATCCTATTCATAAATGATCTGGAATTTGGAGCAAGTAGTGAAGTGATCAAGTTTGCTGATGACTATTTAGGATGGTTAAAACCTAGAGATTGTGTGGGATCTGTTCTAGCTGGACAAACAGCCATCAAAGTGGCCAATGAGGCTTCTTGTAATTGTTCCAAGTAATCAGTTTGCCTCAGATTCAAAAGCCTGAACAGTAGTTCTCATGGATTTTCCAAACATGACTGTACAGGAGATTATAGGCCTCCTTGGTCTCCCCGCCCCAAAGTCTAAAGAGCTGAGCGCCTTAGAACAACCCTGATGCAAATGCACCACGGAGCCAGCTGGATGAATTTGGGCCATTCACCGACTCGGCCCAACCTACTCTGCTGGGTGGTTGTTAAGGGAAGATTCAGCAGAAAGGGGAGAATGATGGAAGCCACTTTTGAGTTCTTTGTAAGCAAAAAGGTGGGGTATGAATCTAATAAATGAAGGAAACACAGCTGTGTCTGAAAATTGTCGTGTGCCAAAGATGAATTTTTATTTGTGTTCTGTATGAGGATGTATGAAATATGTCCCCACTATGATGCTGAAGAAGCTGATACTCCCTTCATCCTGATGTGTGGTGAACACTGTAATCATTGCTGCATAAAACGCCCGCAACAGAGTCAGATGAACTTCCCCCAGGCATACGATGAGCACCAGCCTACCGCCAAAGATTCTCTTCATGGATTCTCTCCCCCTCAAGAGAGTCATTTATGGATAATTAGCTATCATAACTCCCCCTCCCATTGGCGCACTGATGCCCTTGGATGCTTCTGGAGGAATTCATCTGAAGACGCATCTTCCAAAGTGCACAATCGGCCTGTGCAACCCTGAAATAGTCCCCGGCGTGACGCCATTCCCTGACGATTGTACTGTTGTTCCTTGAGTGACCAGTTCCTTGCCATTTGTGTGTGTCCTGGGCCTCAGATGTTTGCTGGAACTCCGGAGAAGAACCAGGGCGGTGCAGGGGGGACCGTGATGCGCAAGACTGACAAGGAATGCCTGCCCTTCATGTTCTCCTCAAGGAACCATTGCTCCTCTTGAGCATGGTCTCTGGCACAGCACACCTGTTTGTTTACACTGTTCAGGGAGTGCCAACTATGGGGTGGAACAAAAGCTAATTCACTGGCTGCTGCCAGCAAATATGGCTACCAGGTTTTGCAGCCGGGGCAACGGCTCTTGCGACACCAACTTCAGCGGCATGCCACGGAAGCGCTGGAAATACACGCGTTCGCCGTAGCTGCCACAAAATGCTTCGCAAGTCGCCTGGAAAATTCCTAAAGTTTCCACGGAGGTACCAGGCTGCCGGTGCCGTCTACGTTTTCAGGAGCAGCCGCTAGGAGGAGGTCTCCGGATGTCTCGTTCCTGAAGCAGGAGACGAGCAGGCAGGCGCAGTAAGGCGTTTTTCTGCGCGCATGTTTGCCCGGGCACGCGCGCGCCCGGGAAAGGGCGCTTGGCTGTTGCAGCGCTTCGCCCCAGTTGACTTCTGAAGCGCTCCCGTGCTCACGAGCCGGATCCCGGGCCTCTGGGAACCTGCCCGGCTGAGCCGCCCAGGCACCGAGATTAAAAAATGCAGAAATCGCCCTTGTTACCCCGTAGGCAGCGCCACAAGGATGAGCAAGAATCGCGCCCTGCGCTTCCCCCGAACGGCTTTGGATAGCGCGGGCTGGCGCTCGCCGCGCCTCCCCCGCGGACGCCCGCCCGGCATAACCGAGTCGGGGATGCCCACGCCCGGGAGCGCAAACTTCCTAACCGGGGAGCGCAAAGTTAAGGCCACGCCCCCCGCGGCGCTCGGAGGGCGCACGTTGCCGCAGGCGCGCCGGCTCCGGCGAGGAGAGGCCGGGGGCCCCGGCGGCCGCTGGAGTCGGGGGCGCCCGGAAGGATGCGCTGCGACGGCCCCGGGTGGGGAGAGGGGCGCCGCCGCCCACCTCGGGGCCACCAGAGCCGGCTGCCCGCCTCCCCGTGCGCGATGGGGGCCGCGACCCTCCCCCCGCGCGCGCGCCCGCACGTGCCCCGGGCCGCCCGCCTCCGGCCGCGCTCGG